GGGGGGGGGGATTGGGGTGGTGGCGGGGAGGGGTCCCATTGAGAGCGGGAGGGGGGCCTGGGCGCCCTGCAAGGCGGGGGGGGGGTCCCCGGTGAGTGTCCAGTGGGGGGTGGGCACCGTAGGTTCTCTCACGGGCGCTGGCAAGGGAGGACAAGGTGCTGGTCTTGGAGACAGCGTCAGCAGGGGGGCTGCGGGCCCATGTGGGGGTCTTGGGAGCAGTGGCATCTTCCCTGAGGTTGAGGACACACAGTGTTGGGGGGGAAGGAGCACCAGGAGACCTCCCTGATCTGAGAGTGTCTGAGAGACCCAGGGGGACAGAGGTGGGGAAAATGTCCTTGTTAACTCTGAAACCTAATGATGACTGGGGAGATGTGGACATGCACACATACACACACACACATGCACACACACACACAGACTCCCCACCCTCCCCCCTTGTTAACTCTGAAACCTAATGATGGCTGGGCAGAGGTGGTGACTGAGCAGAATTGGACACTTCCCCCTGCCTTGTTAACTCTGAACCCTAATGATGGCTGGCTGGAGGTAGAAACCTCCTCCTCTCTCCCTCCTCCCCGCTGTTAACTCTGAAACCTTATTTCAACCGCCTCTGTAGGAGGGGGGTTCCTCACTTGATCTCATTGGCCACCTCCTCCTGGCTGTCCCGTTTCTTGCGCCGGTAGCCCACCATCTGCCGGGTGAAGAAGACGACGGTGGCCAGGGCGCCCAGGGAGCCCAGCACGGCCCCAGCGATGATGGCATTGGCACTACCTGCTGGAGACGAGCTATTGTTGCCACTGGATCCTCATGGGAGCCTCACGAGGACTTCACAGGGATCCCATGGGGACCTTGTTGCCCCCCATCCCCTCAGACACGTACTCACTTGAGTGCACTTCCAGGAGGATGCTGCACTCAGCCGACCCTGCCGGGTTTTCAGCCTTGCAGACATAGAGCCCTGCCATGTCCAGCGAGAGGTTGGTCAACTTGAGGGTGCCCTTGTTCGAATCTGCAGGTGTCAAATCAAGTTCTGCGTGTCCCCAGCACATAGTTCACCCCCACACCGTCCTCAGCCCCTTGGTGGGCACCTTACCTTGGGCGGGGGGGAAGAAGACCTGCATAGTGGGGGCTGTGCGGTGCCACTGGTAGTTGGGCTGTGGCTTCCCCTTCTCTGAGGAACAGCTCAAGGTGACGTTGGTGCCAACAGCGGGGTGGCCCTGCAGGCGGCAGGTGGGGAGGGCCGGTGGCACTGTGGCCCCCCCAGGTGATGTCATGGACATGGACACCACAGTGGAGGGCAAGCAGAGCCAGAGGGTGGCACCAGCAGGGCCTTACCTAGGACAGTTAGGTTGATGATGCCGACGTTCTTGCCTGTGCTGGTGACATCATCTACCACATTGACTGTGCACATGTACTGGCCTGAGTCACGCTCCCGGGTGGCGTTGATGAAGAGTGAGATGTTGTGAGTGAGGACAGGGTAGAGGAAGCCCAGGCGGGGCTTCAGCTCTGTCTCCTCCACCTTCACCACTCCATCCAGGTAGGACAGGATCTGCACAAAGGGTGAGAATGTCTACTGAGTCACCTCTGGATGGTGTTGCTAGAGAGAAAAACCCCCAAAATCCCAAATTTTTGGGGAGCAGTGCTTGGGTATGGGGCCTGTCCAAACTGCCCTGAGCATCCACATCTTGGGACCGTGGACATCTTCTCACGGTGGGTACCACAAGTACCTCCCCATCATGGGCACCATGAACAACTCACCCCATCATAGGCATCTTCCCACCACGAGCACCATGAGCAGCCATCCCATCATGGACATCTCATCACTATGGGCACCATGAGCAACTGCCCCATCATGGATGTCTTCCCACCATGGGCACCACAGTCCTAACTGTGGGCATCTCCCCATCATTGGCACCATAAGCAACTGCCCCACTCTGAGCATCTCCCCATCATGGGCACCTCTTGATCATGGGCACCACAATTATGCCCCCCCCCCTTACAGGCACCATGAGCATCCTCCTACCAAAGGCATCTCCCCAGCATGGGTATCTCCCCTCCCATGGCCACCATCAGCAACTGCTCCATCATGAGCATCTCCCCATCATGGGTACGACAGGCACTTCACCATAATGGACACCACAATCATCCTCCCTCACACTGTGGGCATCCCCCAATCACGGGCAACCTGATCATTCCCCCACACTTACCCTGTGGACATCTCCCCATAACGGACACCATGAGCATCCTTCTACCAGGGGCATCTCCCCATCATGAGTGTCTCTCCATGGTGAGCACCACAAGCATCCCCTCATTGTGGGCATCCTCCCATCAAAGGTACCAGGAGCACCTTCCCAGTATGGGGACCATGAGCACCCCCTATCATGGGCACCTCCCCATCACAGGAACCATGAACACATCCCCATCATGGGCACCATGAGCATCCCCCCAACCATAGTCCCCATGGAAGGCACCTTCACATGGTGGGCACCTCCCCGTGCACTTCACTCCATTGTGGTCACCTCCCCAGCATGGACACCATGCTAATCCCCACCATGGTGGGTACCACCTTATCATGGGCACCATGAGTATCCCTCCCATTATGGTCTGCATGGCCACCTACCCACAGTGGGCACCATGAACTTCACTCTATCTTGGACACCACCAGCAGCCGCCCACCGGGGCCACCTCCTGTGTTGTCACCTCTATCACCCAGGTCCCCACCTGGAAGGGGTCAGCATCCTCCTTGTCCAGCAGCCAGGTGACATAGGGCTTCCTCCGGGAGTGGCTGGGGGGG